TCTATAACCCAAGTAGGAACACATATTTTTCCTGTCTAAGGTGTATGCCTGCCTGGGAGAAATGTTTAAGCACTATGTCCAAATTCTCCAAGTGCTCTTTACTGGGTCTTCCCCGTTATTAGTACGTCATCCAAATAAATGGCAACCTGGTTAGCCCCTTGTAAAATGTTCTCCATGGTCTGCTAGAAAAGGGCACAAGCTGACAATACCCCAAATGGCAGTCTTATATATTGATATAAACCCTTATGGGTGTTAATTGTAGCGTACTTCTGGGACTCCGCATCCAGTCGCAACTGCAGGTAGACATGGCTTGTGTCCAGATTCGTAAAGGGAAGCCCCCCCCCACTGCCAACTTTACAAACAAGTCCTCTATGTGAGGCATAGGGTATTTGTCCAGCTGCAGAAATGGGTTTATTGCTTGTTTAAAATCCCCGCAAAGGCGAACCCAGCCATCAGGCTTCACAATCGGTATGATCAGTGCCACCCAGTCTGCAAACTGCAACAGTTTGATGATTCCTTCCTTCTCCAGCCTCCTGATTTCCACCTGTACTCTTGCCTGTAAGCCAAATGGCACTGGGCGGGCCTCGCAAAATCTCAGAATTGCATCCTGGTTAACATGTAAAGTGGTTTGCCCCTTTGATAGTCCCAAGACCTGCGTGAAAAACTCCTGGGTATTTCACTAGGGTTTCTCTGAGGCAGCCATTTTCTAATTGAAAAATGTTGAGCCAATCCAAGTGAATCTTTCTCAAACAATTCCACCTCAACAAGGTTTGGCCCGAGTCTCTTACTGCCATCACTGGTAACTGCACCAACTGCTTCTCGTACAAGACCGGAATCAAAGTGTACCCTTAATTTGCAACGGTTCCCCAGTGTATGTTTTCAGTCTGACTGAGGTCTTGTGCAAGTTCAATGGTTGGAGTCCCTTGTGAATCTTGTTAAAGACAGATTCTGCAAGCACAGACACAGCTGCGCTGATAACTGGGTGACCATTTAACTAAACATTAATTTTAATTGACCCCAATTTGGGTATCACTAAGCAATTTAATTGTTCCAACCCACACGTAGGAGAACTTTCCAGAGTGTGCACTCTCCTGGGTACCAGCCTCCAAGTTTTCCTATTGAAGTTAGGCCTTGTAGGTCACGTTTGCTGTCTCGAGTCCGCATACCAGCAGCAACTACAATGTCTTGCTGTCCCAGATCCAGAAGAACTGATTAGCAACTTGGCCAAGGCTCGACTTTGTTGCGGGGTTCTGCTGTGGGTTGGCCTAGGGTACCTCTGTTGAGGACATGTGCTGCGTGAGGCTCTGCAATTGCCTACGCACTCACGTGGTGTTCCCCAAGCTCAGTTGGGCAGGTGAGGGTGTCCGCTTCCATTGGGATTCTATGTGGTTCCCATGCTCCATTTGCCACATTTTGTAATGATGAGGCCAGCTGCAGTGTCTGTTTGAAGTCCAGTTGGGTTTCAGCTGGTAGGTACTTCTGCATGGTTCCATCATTAATCCCACATACCAAATGGTCTCTCAGCATTTCATTCAGGATTAACCCAAAATCACATGCCTTTGCTAGTTGTTGTAACCTCATCAAAATCCAGATATAGATTCACCCGGTTCACTAACAGCCAAATAAAACTAATAGCATCTCAGGATCAGAGAAGAGGTTTGGGGTCATAATATTCCTTAACCAACTCTGTCAACTCTTGGAAGTTTTTAGCAACTTGTGCCTCTGGGAAAATTAAGCCCCTTATAACCAAAAATGCTGTGGGCCCGCAAGCAGTCAGAAGGATTATTCGTTGCTTTTCATCTGCCCCAATGTCACTTACCCAGAAAAAATGTCGCATTCTCTTGACAAACTGGGCCCAGTCTTTGACAGCAGGGTCAAATGAGCCAAGCTTCCCACATAGAGGCATGATGCCAGAAATGCTTCACCCAAGTTCAAGATGACAGTTGCAAGCAAATGTTCCTCAGGCGTGTCCTGTGGCCAGCCTGTTCAGAGTTGAGTCAATCTTCAACTGAGGAGATTCTAATCTCCTGGTTATATTGGTCAGCTAAGGCTTTCCTGATTGGCCCAAATTAACAACCTCAATCAAGGACCTCGTAGTTAACATGGCCAACCTGGTCCCAATCACTACACTAACCTATTCACCAATGTAACATCCAGAGAAGTTATAGATATCTGCCCTGCAGCACTACATCATGGAAATCTTGACCTGCTACTGTTGTATCAATCAGTATTTATTGACCTTTTGAACTCAACAGGAAGCACAGTTGAGTTCAGTTTTAATGATACAATATATGCCCAAAAGGGATCATTGAGATCCCAATAGGCCCAGCTCTCAGCAACATCTTTTTTGTATTCCATGGGCAACATTTCTTTGATGGAATTACATCTAATCTCCTAGCCATTGCATTCTTCGAATATGTAGGTGATATGTTTGCTATAACGTTTGAACCTGCAACTGAAAGTAAAAATTTCTTTATGTGTTTTAATGGGCACCATCTCAAACTCAAATTTGAAACAAGGCAGTCTGATGACCCACATTTCCTTGACATCCCAGTTGAAAAATTGGCCGAGCATTCTCTACCACTACCTAACCCAAGCTTACTTTGGTGGTCAGTGGATGGATTGGGATTCCAACAGTTTCATGCACCGTAAGATTATCAGCAATATTTTAAATATAACCCAAGACATTTGTTCACCATGCAAGCTTGATGCTGAAATAGGGTGCATCAAAGCCATCTTGCAGGATAACGTCTATCTTGATCACTTCATTTCTTGCTATACATTGCACAAACTCATGAATGGGCCCATGGGTACCACTTTTCATTCTGAAATGTGGCCAGTCTACCTGCAATTATCCTGTAACGGTAAGGTACATTAAATATTTGAACAATCTAATTGAATGGGAGAATATTAGCACCACTAATAGGATGATGACATCATGCCAAAAAGATATCTGTCCATCATGCACTGAGTAATGTCATATTTGAATTTCAGTGCAGGTGTGACATTAGCTAAGCTGGTTCTATGTTCCAAAGACTGGTAGATCATATAAAAAAGCATAACCTTTCAGCTTTTTACAACAAGTATGGAACTGACTGCACCCAACTAGTCCTTGGTAGATCTGCTTCTGTAATTGGATGCTACTTGCTAAATAATCCTGAGTGTTCTAATAATTATGATGACAAACAATTTTGGATTGCAGTTGGACATGGAGTGTGGCCGACTTGCGTGGAATCAAAGTTACATATATTGAGATATGGGACCCTGTTTGTTGCCGAAAGAAGGTGAATTTAATACACTGTGTTTGTTGCAACTCAGCAAAACAAGTGTCAGCCATTTTCTGGTTCATTTCTCAGGAAATGCTTTTTCTAATCAAAGTCAACCTAACTGGTTTAAATTTAGAGATATTAGGAACTGCAGATGCTGGCGAATCCGAGACAACAAGGTGCAGGGCTGGATGAACACAGCAGGTCAAGCAGCATCATAGGAGCAGAGAGGCTGACGTTTCGGGCCTAGACC